GTGATTGGGTGGCAAAGTTTAATTATAGGAAACCGATGTATATTCGGCGCATCGTTTGTGTTACACGCTCATAATCCATGGGAAAAAGTGCACTGACGCATTGAGTTTATTTTTGGTTACGATTCATATATGTCGTTCGAAAAATGCAACAGTTAATATGTGAAGAAATATATGATAAATAAATAACAAATTGCTGTGAACAAAAGAGATTGAACAAAAAAGTGTTCTCAAACATCGCGCTAAAACTGGATAACTAACACAGAAAACAAAGTGAGAGTGATAAAAATTAACGCAAATATTTATTTAGTGTAACGTACAACGGAATGAATAAAAACAATTTTCAACTTTAAAACATGCAAGATGTTTTACGTTTTCGTCACTTTCTGTATGCATTATTATTTGAGAAATGAATACACTTCTTGAATTTCGAATTTGGTCAAACGATTCATCGGAACTTGATGCATTTTGTTGTAAGAAATGAGCCATCAAAGACATAATTTACCACCTGACAATAATAGGAATAGGGAGTGTCAAAGTTGTCATTTCTCCTAAACGAATGGATGAAATCTGAGTTCTGTGGTGGTTTCTTTGTATGATTCAGTTTTGAATTTCACGAAATGTCCTTGAATTTGAAACGTTGTATACACCTGCAAAAGTTCGTGATGATAAAAACTTGAAGGCATTGTGTTCTTTAAGCTATAAATTGCTTTCAAAGCAAGGATGCATACTATTTAAATGGTTCACTATATAAGCAAATGAGTGCAATCATTGCAGCCACTCCCAGTTCGAATCAAAGATTTCAAATATATGCCTGTGTAAACAGTCGTAAAGATTGTTGAAGGTTTTACAGGTCAGGCAAGAGGTTCTAAGGATGTATGGATGGAAGATTTTAAATTTTAATACATATTACTCCAACTTTGGTTCGTGTAGTCCCAAAAAGGCATGGCAAGTTTTCCAAAATAACGACCGGCGATAGAGGGGCAAAATGTTTTTGGTGATGGAAGATTAATTTGGTTAAATACCAATGGGTTGAATGCTATAACACTGAAGGCTGCAAGGCTGAATGTGAGGTTGTTGGACAAAAGGGCGAAGGACAAAAGGACAAAGGACAAAAAGGTCGAAGGGACAAAATGTCGAAGGATACAAAGTCGAAGGGAAAAAAGCTCGAAGGGAAAAAATGTCGAAGGGACGAAAGTTCGAATCATCAAAAAGATAATAGGACAAAAGGTTGAAAGGACAAAACGTTGAAGGGACAAAAGTTTGAATCATCAAAAAAACTAATCGAACAATAGATCAAAAGGAAAAAAAAAGGTCGAAGGTATAAAAAGAAGGGACAAAAGTTCGAAGGAAAAAATGGTGGAATCATAAAAAAAAAACAGTAGAACAAAAGTAAAAAGGAACAGAAAGCCATTATTTTTCTCTACAACTTTGTCCCAGACGTGAATTCAATCAGAAATGCTGTTTCCGTGTCACAATTTTTTGAAAAATTTCAAAGATGCCATTTTGAAAATTTAAACAATTACGCAAAGTTTCATACAAATCTCATATTGGCATACTACATCAGTATTCCTTACAATCATGAGCTTTTTCTCAATCCTGTATCATGATTTTTTTCTGTTTCTAAGATGTTGAAATATTACCACTAAGATCCTTTCATTATTGCCCTAGAACAGGAGTTTCATGCTTTCGCATTCCAGGAGAACTTTTAGGTAAAGAATTATTGGCGAAGCACTGCATTTCCCAAGTAACAATTTTGTTTTATGAGGGTTCTGTAGACCATGATTTAGACTTGTAGAATGCTATAAAACATCGATAAAACCTGCAATGTTACTTGGGTTACTTAGCCACCATTCTTATTATACAGTGGCTCCATTTTGCAACAGTCAGTGGATTTGATACACCACGCTGGGTCTTGCAGTATTTCCCAAAAGGGGTTTTGCACAAAGTTTCACACGACCTTTGTTTTTTGAAATGAACGACCGCGCCTACACGGTCGATGAAACCGTCTCAAAAGTGAGATGAATTTGACACAATTTGGTCAAAAGGAGATTTGCTCAAAAAGAGAGTACAATTTGCTGAACTTTTCCAGGAAAAACTTCTCGAATATGAAGAAAATCAATGGAAAACTTATTTTTTCCTGGAGTATTCTAATAGACTGAGTGAAACCTCTCTCGATTTTCTTCACATTCGAGAAGTTTTTCCCGGAAAATGTCGGAAAATTCAACTCACTTTTGTGCAACCCCTCTTTCGGAAAAATTTGATCCAATTCAACTCACTTCTGAGTCGGTTTCATCGTCCGTGTAATGAAAGGCTCAATGATATTCCCCATAAGGGTTAAGTAAACCGGGAGCAAAAAGCATGACGCGTCTTTTGGCTAGAGCAGTTACAGCAGTTTTCCAGTTTTCCACCGTCGACAGAACCCGATTAATGAAACACAAAAACGTTCCATACCAACAAGAACTATTTGGTGATATATCGTCACCAACCGGAACTTGTAAAAAGTGGACCCCTTTCACAATATACGTTACAGACAAGTGCACACCCAATATTACCCTCTCCCCTCAACAACTTGTGCAAGTCAAGCTACAATGAGAGTAACTCTCTATTCTACACTGTGCACCTGCATTGGGATTAGTATATAGTAGGAACAGTTAATTAAAATCAATAAATGGAACATTCTATCCTGAGTGGCTGACACTTTAACACTCCGAATACGATGCCTCCGAAAAACGTGTAACGGCAAGTTTGCAATGTCATAACTTAGCCATTTCTTAATGAATTTCAAAAATTGTGATACCTTTAGAATTTCTAGGGTTTGTAGATGGTTTTGATTGCAAAAAGATTGGAAATAGAGTCGTCTACTTTTTTAAAAAGCGAAAAGAGTTGTTACACGTTTTTTGAAAGGTGTGTTTGAAAGGTTTTGCAAGTGGCGCAAGATCTGTAATTTAGATTAATGGGCACAAATTTTCACAATTAGCCAGAAAACAGTCTCAGTTCCTATATATGGATTCTGGAGACAACGGAACGGTCCTCAAAAATCCGGAACATCCGTAAAAGTGGTCAATCCATGAACCTGATCCTAGAGCTCTGCGGTTTTTTTGAAAACATTAGGAACTGTGATATAAAAAATATTTGGGGTCGTGACATAAACATGTACCTGGCTGGCCATGAGACCGTCCTCCGGAAGATCCGGAACATCCGTAAAAGTGGACAATCCATGAAACTGATCCTAGAGCTCCGCGTTTTTTAACATTAGGATCTGTGATATAAGAATGAATTTGGGACATAGACCCAGATGACCATGGGACCGTCCAGCGGAAGATCCGGAACATCCGTAAAAGTAGTAAATCCACGATCCTGATCCTAGAGCTCCACGTCTTTTTTTATAAACATTAGGAACTATGATGATAGAAAGAATTTGGGCTTGTGACATAAACATGAATCTGGATGTCCATAGGACCGTCCTCCGGAAGATCCGGAACATCCGTAAAAGTAATCAATCCATGAAACTGATCCTAGAGCTACGCGTTTTTTTTTAACATTAAGATCTGTGATATAAGAATGAATTTGGGTCATTGACCAAGATGGCCATCGGACCGTCCAGCGGAATATCCAGAACATCCGTAAAAGTAGTAAATCTGCGGTCCTGGTCCTAGAGCTCCGCATTTTTTTATCATTAGGAACTGTGATGATAGAAGCAATTTGGGGTTGTGACATAAACATGAACCTGGGTGTCCATGGGACCGTCCTCCGGAAGATCAACAACATCCGTAAAATGGTCACTCCATAAAATTGAAAGGTGGAAGCATAACTATGACGAGCACCTCAACGGTGATGCAGCAGAAAACGAAGGTGGCACGGCAAAAGATCTTGGAGCACGCGCTGAAAACGACAGGCTACCGGCCCTTGACCTTCAAGAAGTTGAGGAGGAGATCGGTCGGCTAAAGAACAACAAAGCAACTGGTGTAGACCAACAATAAAGTGAGCTATTAAAATACGGTGGTGAAGTACTGGCTAGAGCGCTGCACTGGGTAATTGCCAATATTTAGGAGGAGGAGATATTACCGGATGAGTGGATGGAAGGTGTTGTATGTCCAATCTGCAAAAAGGGCGACAAGTTGGATTGCTGCAACTACCACGCGATCACAATGCTGAGCGCCGCCTACAAGGCACTTTCCCAGATTATATGCCGCCGCCTGTCACCATTTGTAAGAGTTCGTGGGGCAATACCGGCCGGGATTCATGGGTTCATATTCGCGAATCGATCCTAGAGCTCTGCAGTTCTTTTTTAAACACTGTGATATAAGAAACCACTGGATCACTTTTACGGATTTTCCGTATCTTCCTATGGCCATCCAGGTTCATGTTTTTGTCACGACCACAAATATCACAGTTCCTAATGTTTTTGTAAAAAAAACTGCGGAGCTATAGGATCAGTTTTATTGATTGACCTCTTTTACGGATGTTCCACATGCTTTCGAAAAAAAAACGCAGAACTCTAGGATCAGTTTCGAAGATTGACCATTTTAAAAGATGTTCTAGATCTTGCGGAAGACAGTCCCATGACCTTCTAGGTACATGTTTATGTCACGACCGCAACTTAATTTATATATGACAGTTCCAAGTGTTTTTGAAAAAACCGTGGAGCTCTAGGATCAGTTCCACACATTGACCACTTTTCCGGATTTTTCGAAACTTCCGGAGGACGGTCCGATGGCCATCTGAGTCCTTGATTATGTCACGATCCCAAATTCATTCTGATATCATAGTCCCTAACGTTTTCAAGAAAACTACGGAGCTCTAGGATTAGTTTTGTGAATTTTCCACTTTCACGGATGTTCCGGATCTTCCTGAGGACGGTCCCATGGACATCAAGGTTCATGTTTATGTCACAACCCCAAATTCTTTCTATCATCACAGTTCCTAATGTTAAAAAACGTGGAACTCTAGGATCAGGATCGTGGATTTACCACTTTTACGGATGTTCCGGATCTTCTGGA